CCTGCCCACCAGCAACCCCTGAGGGTGCTGGTCCCCCCTGCCTGGCCCCCTCCTACCTCTGGGGAAGGCGCTGCGGAGGGGCCGGAGCCGGGCGTACCGCTCCAGGTTGTAGTCCTTGAAGAGGACGGCCCAGAAGTCGTGGACGGCAGCAGCGTCGCGGCCCAGCAGCCATGTGAGCAGCGCGTGGAAAGCGCGGTGGGAGCCCTCCCGCTCTGTCCGGCTCAGCGTCTCCTGCCAGTGCCACCACAGCCGACGTGCTCAGGGACGATGTCATGGTCGACCAGGCCATGCAGCAGTGGGAAGACATCATCCACTGCCATGGCAATCTCGGTGCGGTGCAGCTTCAGCAGGTGCCGCAGGTCTCCCTCACCCCCCAGCCCTGCCATGCTGGGGACGTCGCCAGGGCTGAGCAGCCTGCCCCGGCGTTCCCCTTTAATACACCCCGGCTGCCAACAGCGGGAACCTCGTCAGGATCCCGCGGCCCCACTCATTTCTGTACGAACCGCGTAACCTGAGATCAGCTCTCCAGCTGCCGGCTGTCCCTGCGGCACCACCACAACCCGAGCCCCCGCGGTTGGGGTCGGCATGCTACCCAGACCAGGGCATCAACAGCTGGCGTGACTTTAGCTGCCGCTGATGGTGAAGGACACCCAACCCCACAGTGACCACCCCGGGGTGGCCGGGCTTGGCCCAGGGTGCTGGTGCAGGGCCCCCACCTCCCTCATCCTTGCGGTCAGCCAGGCGCTGTCCCAAAATTTCTGGGCTTTCCGCAGCACCTGCTTCTCTCATCCAGAAACTGGGCTGTGGGAGCACATGAGAAGTAACACCTCAGCAGTGGGGGAAAAGGGGAATATTTGCCCTGGCTACCTGCAAACCACCACAGGAAAGCACTGACACAGAAGATGCTCTACGAATGTGCGTTTGGGTACAATTACGGATGCTGAACAAGCAAACAGCCTGCTTGAAGCACGGCACTGCTGTCCTCCAGCCTGCCAGAGCAACGGCAGACCCATGAGCAAGCCTGGGGATTACCTGGGCAGGGTGCTGCCTGCAGCTCTGTCATTGCCCCCTGCAGGAAATTGGGCAATAAAGTGATTTTGCTGGAAATACGCAGCTATAAAAAACTCGGAGCTGGAGAAAACTTGCTACTTAGAAGCACCTGGCATATAAAAGTCTCGGGTCTGGCTGCTCTGTACCAGGCATCCAGGAAAGAGAAAGCTCTAAAGCTCCCATTCCTCTTCCCGAACATTTGGGATTTCCCCAGGCTTAATTTGCAGCCTCTCTCCCTCCAGAGATACGTCCCTGCTGCCCAGAAGGCTCAGCTGGGGGCGCTGTGGCTGCGCACAGCGTCTCCACATGGCAGGGCAGTCCCTGATGCCGCTGTACAGCCAAACCCCACCCGAGTGGGATGGGAAAGGGGTGCAAGAAGGGATGCTCCACTGCACAGAGCAGGATATGGGTAGGGACAGTTACCAGTAAATCCTAAAAGACTGGACCAGTATCCACTGCCTCCACAGCCGTGTCAGGAGGAGGCAGCTGCTGTCCAGAAACTTGGGAAGAATAACAAGACAACACCCTCCGTGACAGCAGGAAATACCCTCATTCATTTCTGGTTAACAAATTAACGTGTTTACCCACAGAAACGCTCGCCCTGAAACTCCTTTCATGATTAGGGGTGAGTTTTCCCATGGAGGCATCAGGAGCCGTGGGATGGGGGTCAGGCAGGCATCATGCTGGGTTCCTGTGCCCAACACCATGATTTTGGTGCCAGCTCTGCCGTGGAAAGGACAGCTTTGCCACCGCCTGGCCGATGTGCTTCCACCCCAGGGGACATATAATGGGCATCAGGTGAAATGGGAAGTTCATCTCCCCTCCTGGAGCTCCCCTGCAGCCCGGTCACAGGTGCTGAGCACAAGCACATTCATAACAGTCTCACAGGTCTGGTCCTCCCTTCCTGGGAAAACCATTTTCCCCAGCGTCCCACCCACTGTGCCACCCTTTGTCACTGCCACCCTGCGTTAAGCTGTCTGGCACCTCTAGGACAAGGCTCTGGCGATTGCCCCAGTGCCCACCTGTTACAGGAGCTCCTGTGTGGGCAGGTGCTGTCCCATGCAGCCCTGAGCTGTGCGCCCACAGCGCTGGGCTTGGACTTGTCCTAAATTCCAACTTTGTGACTGTTCTACTGCTCTGAATCACAGACATTGTTTTCCACATCCAGCCTGCTCAGCAGTGCAACAACTTGCATTTTGGGTTGTTTTTTCCTGTTCCTTCCCCTTTCTGAGACACTACGCAGGAGGCAGAGCAGCAGCTGCCAGGTGCCACATGAAGAGGCATGTACATCCTGAGAGATCAGTTGGGTATTTCTGTACGACCTTGCTTAGAGCAGACCTTGGCAGCTGTAAGGTACTTGTAAGGGCTGTGAAAAGTCAGCTTTTGCTTGCAGAGGGGTGTAAAACCCTCCCTGGGGCTGGCATGAGCCTGGCCTGCCTGCAAGGGCCCAAGGCTGGGGCACAGAGGAGCCCGACCACGCTCGTGTTTTGGGATGCCCTCTCTTTTCTATCGCTCCCCTTGCAGGAATCAGTGAGAGGTTCGGGGTAAGTGAGCTCCATTTGAGGTCAAACCTGACTGTGAAGGCTGAAGGTGTTGCTCCATAAACGCCCAGTTAAATCAGCAACTGTAAGTCCATCAAAAGCCTTTGTAGCCCCTGGGATGCACTGCGATTCCCTCCTCCTGAGAAAAGCTGTTGAAGCAAACGCACCCTTTCCAGCATTCCTTCCTTTCCCCTTTCTCTCCCACGCTGAGGTCCCGTGGTACAAACCATCACCCTGCATGTGTCTCAGACACCCCCTGCCCCGTGCTCAGCTCATACAACACGTCCCTGAATCACAGTCAGGAGAGAAAAGGCAGAAGCGGGATCACCCCAGGAAGGCAGAGGTCTCTGCCCCCCGCCTTGTCTCTGACACCAATCCCCCCAAGCCTGAAGCACTACCACCGCAGGCAGAGGTTTCATCTCTCTCCCCTTACCTTCGGCTGCTCCCGACTCCATCATTTTTGGTAAGAAACAAAGCTCCAGGTGGGGCCCTGATCCTAGAACCCCGTTTCTAGCAGCTTCCCTACCGCAGCCCTGCGCAGTCCAGCTGAGCGCAGGTCCACCTGCATGCTTCACCGCTGCTCCTGCAAGAGCCCAGGAGGGAGAGATGGAGTAGAGAAGATTTATTTTAGCTTCAGTTTCCTCTTTCCTCCCCCTTTAGAAAGAAGAAACAAAAGCCCAGAGGTATGTTATATTAATTTATTTGGGACACACCAAAAAAGGAAAGTCAACAACTGTTAACGTACAAAAGTACAGAATCCTGGGACAAGATTTACTGTCCTGATTAAAAAGGCACCATGGTCCCAAAGAAGAGTAATCAGAATACATCATTTAGAAATTTTCCCCCTGTTGCAGCAGAAACAGAGCCAGGCTTTGGCTCTATCCACAGTCAAACCCAGTTAAAAAAAAAAAACAAAACCCAAAACACATATGATTTAAATGCGATAAAAACTGCTCAGCCTGTACAAGATGTCATGAAAAGAATCACAGCCTAGAAGATGGTCGGACTTTTTTTTTTTGCCCTTTTTTTTTTTTTAAACAGCGAAGGTGACAAACCACTAAGTATAGAACTGAGGAAGACAGCAAACTTCTGACGCCTTCAGCTTGACTTTCTGTAAGACACGCCAGTTAAACTGAAACTAGTAGGCTGAGTGTGGGGCTTCTGAATGAAATGTAATTCCCTGTGGTATACAGGAAGTCAGAATCGACAACCTTAAATTCCCTGAAAATCATAAAGCACTATACAGCTGTGTTCCATATTTGGGTCAACCCTGGCGGGTTTGCTTTGCACACGAGCGTTTATACTGTCAGCTATATTTGTAATACAAAGGGGGGTTTACAGCAGTTATTAAAAAAATTCTACTTCGGCGAGGTCCGAGCTTGGCTATATTCCCTGCTGAAACAGAGCTGCTGGTGTGAAAGCCCAGTGAGAGGCTCAAGTCCAGCACCTCAGGGCTGGAAGGCAAATAGTTTAAATGTGACATAATCTGCACGGGGAAGTCAGTGAAGCACGTCAGAGAAAGGAGGAGAGAGAGGGCTGCGAACTCTCAAGCCGCGGAGGCATTGCAGAAGGTGGGTGCGTGCTATTAAACCTGCAACAACACTACGAGTGATGCGGAATACACGGGGTTCACTAAATATTTTGGAGTAACTTACCATGAAGAACTTCTCAGAGACACAGAATAAGGATCCCGGCAATTACTAACGAGCAAGGTCAGTGGGAAGCCGATGCATCGCTCGGAGCTGGACGGATCCGTCCGCAGATGGAGGGACGGAGCGGAGGGACACCGGAGCCTGCCTGAGCAGCAAGGCTGGGCTGCCGCCGCCTCTTGCGCTCGTTAGCTCTGCTGCATCCCAGTCGGAGCAGCAGCTAATCTGCGTTTCATTCCTCCTTTGGCATAGGACTTCAAAGCAGTCCAGGAACTGATTCATCAAAAGTAACAGGAACTGTCAAAATCATTCGTACATGCATTTATTGTTAAAGGGAGCAAAAGCCAAAGAATGAAACAGCATGAGTTAATGTCAGTAAAATGATGTGCAGGGCAGAGAGGAAGGAAACGGGGAAAAGCTGAGATACTGGAGTGGGGAAACCAATGTTCACACTGGAAGGTAAATTTGAAAACCAGGCAAGTTTGCGCTCTTTCTACCAGAGAACTTCTGTGGACAAACAGAGACTTGGGGTTTTTAATTTTCAGTGTTGTCTGACAAAGTTTGGGAATCTCACCAGAGAGATCTCCAGCGCTGGGTTTCACTGAAAGTTCAAGTCTCTCATCTTTAAAAACCAGTAAAGCAACTCTAACTAAAAACGGGAGATACCCTCGTACCGCAGGTATCTGAAGTCACAGACACGGCACTGCTCGGGATGTACGTGGGCAAGAGGGTTACACTGTGTTCAAACACACTCCGGGTGGAAAGCTGCGTTTCCACCCTGCTGGTCTGCACGGGGCTCGGGGGGTGGAAAAGCTCACCCAGGCCCAGGTGCCTTTTGTGGTCAATACCACAAGTACCCACACCTGGGAAGGCTTTTTCTTCCCTATTATCCTAAGAAGGCAGGGTAACAGTTTATAAAATTCTTTCCATCTTGAAACTAAATAACATGATTTGCATCCTTCCCCCTATCCTGCCCCTC